TCTTCGCCGCCCTGGCCGCCCGAGGGACTCTGTGTTTCTCCCTCACCGCCCTGGCCGCCCGATGGACTCTGTGTTTCTCCCTCACCGCCCTGGCCGCCCGATGGACTCTGTGTTTCTCCCTCACCGCCCTATGGACTCTCTGTTTCGCCCTGGCCGCCCGATGTTCCTGTCCCGCCCTGGTCTGTCCCTCCCGTCCCGCCCTGGTCTGTTCCTCCGGTCCCGCCCTGGTCTATCCATTCAGTCCCTCCAATCAGTCCCTTCCGTTCCACCCTGATGTTTCCTTCCTGCCCCGCCCTAGCCTGATGGAGCGTCTGGTAGCCGCTCCGTAGGGAGGGGGTTATGTCACATGCCTGTCTTGTGTTGCACATGGGTGTTTGTTATGTTGTGCCATGTGCTGTTTTGATTGTTGATCCCTCCCCCTCGTTATCTGATTAGTGTTTGAGTTGTTCCACCTGTCCCCTCTTGATTTGTTCCCTTTTTAAGTCTCCTCTTGTTTGCAGTCTTTGTCGGTTCATTGTCAGATGTTTCCTGGTTTGGTCTGCGTGTTTTTAGTCGGTGTTTGTTTTGCGTATTCAGTTTTTGTTCATGTTTCTTCGATTATGTTTTTTCCCCCTTGTGGGTTTTTGCTTTGTGTTTTGTTTTCTTTTGTTAAATAAATCCTTATGCTGCATTTGAGTTCTCTCTCCCCTTTTGTATCGTGACACACACGAAGTTTGGAGGTCTATAGCAATTGACTGCAGAAAGTTGGCTCTGTGATTTTACGTGGCCTACCACTTCGTGGCTGAGTTGCTGTTGTTCCCAATTGCTTTCCCTTTGTTATAATACCACTAACAGTTGACCGTGGAATATTTATTAGTGAGGAAATTTCACGAATGGACTTATTTGCACAGGTGGCAACCTATCATATAATAACTGCGTTTTATACAACTGTGACCATGGAAGTGATTGGAACACCAAAATTCAATGATTTGGAGGGGTGTCCCAATACTTCTGACAATATAGTGTATTTTTTCCACTAACCAAATACACACTATATTGACAAGAGCATTGGGATACACCTCTTAAATATTGAATCCAAGTGTTTCAATCAGACCAATTGCCACAGGTATGAGAAGATGAAACTGTCTATGAAAGAGGTAGGAGGAGACGGTCGGTCAGAAAGAGTGATAAAGAGACAGACAGTACCTACACTTGTCCATGCACAATAAATAGGGATGCACCGATACCAGTATCAAGCCAAATACAGCACTAAAATACTCATTAAAATGCTCCGATACTGAAACCATGCAGCGTGATGTGTCCAGACAACAGAACAAAAAGAGATTTAGAGATATCAGAGATTAAAGATTTCTATGATTGATTTCTATATATTATCATTATGTTCACAACTTGTAATACTGTAATTACTTTAATGAGCTCATAGTTTCTGCCTGAAATTAAAACATGTTAGCTAACTGCATGTTCCCTTTCAGTCAGTCACATTCGACTTTATGTCAGAACTGAACTGACGAATTGGCATCTCGCCTGAGAGTGAGTGTATAGTATTGACTCCACCCTAGCAAGGCAGGATCTACCACAGAGACCTTCCATATGTAACTCCACGTGTTACCTCCCTATGGGTAGGATCTGGTCTCTGTAGCCGTTTGGAAGAGGCACGCTTCCCCAGTGTTATCCAGTAGTCTCACTGTGTAGGCTAAGAGGAACGGCAGTGATCAACGTTCTCCGCATAACGCCTGTTTCACACATACTCCGTTTGCAGTACGTATGCGGCGCACTATTGTGCTTTCACATATGCGGCGTTTGCAGTGTGGAACTGATCCGTGGCTGTAAATACCAAACACAACATATATTTGTTTTTATTGAAAATCCAAAAGTTGTTACTGAACATGGCTTGTCAGCATTGCAATTTTCTTTAAAGCTCCTATGAAATGATATGTATTATGAAAAGCGCTATACAAATAAATGTTGAATGAATTTATTTTGATTGTATTGAAAGTAAATGTATCTAATTAATAGAATATTAAGCATAAATGTCATATTTAAGCCCGTATAGCCGCTCTGCAAGAGCTGATAAGTGAAGCAAGCTAAGTGGACGAGATGAGTGCACATCCATTTTCTCACAAACACTGAAATGTTTCTAGTTTGGTCGGCTATGTCAATAGCAAAGAAAGTAAAACTATGCACCTATTACTAACGTTACTTGAGGGTAAAGAGAGAAAGAGAGAGAGAGAGAGAGAGAGAGAGAGAGAGAGAGAGGGGGGGGGGGGGGGGGGGGGGGGGAGAGAGCGTCAAATTAAATCGTATTTGCCACATGTACGATTTCATTTGACGTATTTTAAAAAAATATTTAAATAATACACTAACTAAAAAAACGTATGTGATTTCTGTATAAAATGTGGATCCCTACATTATTACAGGAAAATGTCATGTGATGATTGTGCCGCTGCACTGAAGCGGCTCTAAATGTGCGCTGTAGATGAAATAACAATAGAGAAATTGAATGAACAGTGAACAGAAGCACGTACTACATTTTAATGTGCCCCTGTAGTCAATACTTTTATCCCTCAAGTCATCTTTGACCACCAAAATGACATATTTAAAAGGTTTTCCTTGAATTTTTTTCCCCATCACCCCCTAAAATAGCTTGAATGTAATTCTACACCCTTGCCTCATTTAATATAAGCAGTTCTATGAATGTGCAAATTAGCCCCGCCTCCACTCACTAAAGGCAAGTGCAATGCTTAATGTAATAAACTGAAAAGTTTTTGGAGCAAATACACTTGCTAAATGAAAACAGAATGTGTTTGCAGGGTCAAACAAAACATGGACTGGAGCTTGCATGGATGGATTGAATATATTTTTTTCCCCTTTTCAAATCAAAGGTGTTTTAATGACTTAATGGCACTGACAGTCCAGGCATTTACATTTCAGAACACGCTTCCACAAACCAAAACATCTACTTTAGAATATTTCAAACTTCATTTCCATGGGCTGATTCGTTCCAAAACTAAAATGTGGTTCCTTTGTTCCGACAACATGAATGAAATAAATAAAGTTTCAATGTCTTTCTGCATTTGTTAAAACGAACAAACAAACAAACAAAAAAAAACACTAAAACACTGCAGATATGAAATCACAGAGCCATGTGTTGCAATAAATGTAACAAAACTATGAGGCGTACTCTGAGGTCTCCCAAATTACCTGGAGAGTACACTATATGCCTAGTGGAGTTCAGGGTCAGATAATATTTAGGGCTCTGGGCAAAAATGCCACCAAAAGTTATGAAAATTGCCCAGATATGAGTTATGTGGGGACAAAAATTGTTCTCCATAGTGAATTCCATAGTTTTATTTTTTGTCATTATTTGTTTAGTATTGGTTTAGTGCCTCTGCAGACACCATTATGACCTATAAAATTGCTCTAACACAGAATTTTCAGAAAATCTCTACACTTCTAATCATGTTGTTAAGTGCATGTTATTTGGGGGGAAAAAACTAATCAAAATTCTCCTAGAAATCAATTCCAGGGCCAAAACATCGCTCCTTATTAAAAAAGGGTCAATTTATAACACTGTTATGGTTGCAATTGAACAGGAAAAGACTGTCTGCTTGACAGACTTGTAAAGTGGCCAAACACAGATAGTTATTTCTATTTTTTGTAATTGGATGTATTAAGTTATTTACAAAATCAGTATTCAAATCACAGAACATGTTCATTAAAGTCTAGCATAATTTAAAAAAAAGTCTTTCCATGACATTGATTGAAGTGGAAGTAATTCATTTGAGAATTAATAAAAAAATACGTCCAATGTATTCCAATTGTTACATTAAAGTGTTATTTATACCTCATTTGACCAATAAAAGTAAGTTTCTTGGTATAAATTTGTACATTTAGTATGATTCAGTGATGTTAAATAATATTTTTAACTTGAATAAAACTAGTTCATTTAGGCGTTAATATTAACATAGGTTACTATGCATGTAAAGTGACCAAACACAGATGCTTTTGTTTATACAATTTTAAATGATTAATTTCAATATTCATATTTTTATTTCATGAATTGTTTCAACCGATTTAACACATTATTCAATGTGTATTCAAACCACAGGATTTTCAGTAAAGGCTAGTCGCAAAAAAAAAAAAAAAAAAACTCTATCCATGACATTGATTCATTCATTCAAATGAATTAATACTAGCAGAAAGACCGATGAATAGGCTCATAAAAAGACTTCAACTCAATGCTGGTCAGGTTGAGAACAAAATAAGAAGAAGTCACCCGCTCTTAAAACCCGGTATTTGTCTCTCTCAGGCCGACTGAATGTTTTCAAAAAAAGATATGACCAAAGCAGTCAGTTTCTTTAGCCTCTATTATCAATCCTCTGCCTGTGGACTGAAAAGACTCGTATAATAAGATTCACCAAAAGTGGACAATAACAGCTGTTTTGGAAGTTCAGATAATAGATAGTGAAGGATGCATGATTGCACATGTTTAGATTTAATAAACAGAACATGAATTGAAAAGCACTATGTGGTCTGAAATGCATTAAAAATCGTTTCTGAAGCTCAGGGTGTTACAAAACCTGTTTTGTGTTGTTTCTCCTGTTTTGTGTTTAAGGACTTTGATTTTGATATGTATTTTCTGTTCCAATTGTTCCATTGTTTCACCAGTTTTTAATTCCTGTTTGCTTTTGCTGTGCCCCCTTTATTCGTGGTCATAGTTACCCTTGTTTGTTCCCATAGTGATTAATTTCCCTCACCTGTCCCTTGTTAGCCCATTGATATCTTGAGTATATAAATCAGTGTTTCCTGTGTTCATTGTCAGGTCTTGTCCTTTTTATGGCTGTAATGCTGGTGGCTTTACTCAGTTCTTGTGTTGAGCTGTGTATATTTGTGTTATTTTATTATTAAAGACTACTATCAGCATTTGGATCCATCTCTCCTTTGTCTCAGAGTTCCCCCCATGTTACAATGAGCTTGAGTTTAGCCAATTCAAAACTCACCCCGACTTCAACGTGATCCGAGCCTTTGTCGTCCTGCTTGTGGAGAATCTCAAAGTAGTATCGTCTGGAGGCCATGAGACTAAAGGGGAAAGAACGAACATGGAATCTTAATGTCTTTCATTTGTAAGTCCTCTATTTTTATTACAGCATTACCATATCATATTTTATCTTATCTTATATTCTATATTGTAACATCGTACCATATCTTATTAAAGCAATAAAGTGAATTATTACTTTTACAAAATGGCAACCACAGCCATTTACATGATAAAACACAGCAATGTTCGATTTTATTCTTATAATTGGAAAAATAGGTAACTGTGAAAACTCAAAGTACTAAATATTAATATAAAACCACATGTTTGCATGCATTTCACAATGCCTTCAACCTTACACTCATAATTTATAGTCTGAGCTATTTGTTTTATAAATTGTAATCAAGTCACCTTTATGTATATCGCGCTTTATAAAATACAAATGGTTTCAAAGCAGCTTTACAGTGATAAACAGGAAAGTAATGATCAATGATGCAAACAGAATTCAATTAAAAAGGAACGGTTCGAGGACACTATGCCTTCACGCACCCCCTGCCCAGCCGTGGAGCCGGGTAAGGGTTGCACCGCACACTCAGACCCCACTTCGGGACGCGAGTGTTGGTTGTGTATGTGTGAGTTGCACTCTGTGAATCTTAAGTGCTCTGCTATGGCACTCATCTCATCAAAATCACATCTCCTCAAATGGGCCACATGTGCTGTTAGACCAGCACAATTAAAGGCCTGCTTGATTTCACACCTTATTACACCTCCAAATGTGACACGGTAAAAACATCACACACCGATGTGACTCGATCTGTCAATCTCCTATCAATACAGCACTACTGCCATTTACAGAGAACAAAACAGTATTTAAACACAGCCAAAGTCTTTGGGGTGAGGCTCCATATTATATTTACATGCACAAATTATTTAATATTTGTTTTTTTGTTGTTGGTGCCCTGGCAATTTGAGAGATGATATTTGCAACATGAGGCTCCTGATGAGTAAATTTGCTCATGAATATTCATGAGCGTGGCTAATGCATGAGACATAATTCTGCTCAGATGCTAACGCAAATGTCTTGTTTGCCCCAGTGGGCCTATGAAATACCGAGAGCAAATAGAAAGAGGGAGAACAGATGTGAGAAAGGGATAAAAATCAGTGAATTGAAAAGCAAGAAATGAAGAAACCAACTACCTATAGCGGCTCTATAATGCAGGGTTTAAATTATAATTAATAACAGAGACCAATATAATATATAATAAATACTTAATCATATATATATACACACACATTGATGTTAATAAATACATATTTATCTAATGAATATGTATCAGACAATGGTTGAACGTGCAGTAATGTACTGTAAAATTAGCGCAAGAAAGGAAACCATTTAAAACGAGAAGGAATTGAAGAGACGAAGAGACAAAAAAGAGAAACCGGTAAAGTGTGTGAGTGAACGAGAAAAACAGGAAGTGTGATAAAGTCTGCGTTAAAAGTAGAAAATAGACCCTCTCTCAGCGGGAATCGGTGAGATTCTCAAGAGCGCGAGTGGGCTGAAAGCTCTCAGATGGAGAATTACGGTCAGAGGAGGGTGTCGGTGACAGTGCAATTTCCTCAACTTCACACCGACTGATTCGCTCTGCCCGTCTAATATTCCACACTACAATCAATCACAGCAGGTGTGCCGGCTTCGTGCCAAAACAAAGAGGACCTTCATAACATGGAGTGGGATGCAGGAAATAGGAAGACCTTTTCACTCTTCTGTTCAGAAACCTATAGTGAGCTTCCCAGCTAGGCAACATGTTTAGGCCTCACTGCGAAAAGGTTGCTTTAAACCATAAAGTCGAATGATGCGTTCACACCGGACGCGAATAGCGCGTCAGGCGCGAGTGATTTCAATGTTGACGGTAGAGATCCACTTTTGCGACACGACAGTCGCGTGTTGTCGCGACGCCTCCCCACATTTGTACATTGATGGGCGTTCCTCATGTTTACCGCTATGGGTGTGGTTTTGAGCCAGCGGCAAATTGAGCGTCTGGCGCGTTAAAGTAACACTATGTAGTTTTTCAACCTTCATAATATATTTCCAAGACCCTTGTGATGGTACATCGACTTAAAATAAGTTAAATGACACGTCTGCCATAGCCTGACGTGGTCTGTATCGCTTTTACTGGCACTATGTAACTTCGGGTTTCGGGTAGGAACCCGTGCACAAAAAGAACTACAAAATTCGACTGCTTTACGGCATACGTCACTTCCCCCACCACTTCCTCAAATTGTCTGTGGCCATTGCAGACATCCCAAGTCTCCCGGGAGTCTCCTGCGTCTCCCTGATGCCCGCAAATTAGTTCAGATCTGCCGGAATCTAGAGCGCGCATGCGAGACAGAACATACTGCGCGCATAACATACATAGCACGAGCATGGCAGAGAGAGAGAGAGCGAGAGAGCTTGCGAGTGTGCCTCACGAAAGCTAGTCAACCCGCCACCCCCCGTCAACAATCCAGTCACCAAGATATACCTCCCTGAAATGACTTCTTGCAGGTTGGGATGTCTGCCATTGTTGATTCCAAAGCCAGTGCTGGATAAACAGCGAGCGTGCGCGTGCGACAGTCGGCTGCGGAAGGCTAAATTATTTACGACAGCAGTAATGGACAATTCTGCTTCCAACCTGTAGGGCGACCGCTGAGGAAAAATCACATGGTGTTGCTTTAAGCACGTTACGCGCGAATGTTTCATGTAGTGCTTTTTGTGCATTCTCGCGTTTGACGTGAATTCGCGTCTGCCGCCCGAGTTGAAAAATCTGAACTTCTGCGTCAATTCGCGCCGCGTTAACCAATCAGGACCCTGCTTGCTGCTGTCACGTGGTGAAGTGACAGTTTATAATGTTATTTTATGTTTGGCCTCAATAAATTATTTTGTAATATGACAAAAATGCTTGGTGTGCAAAGCAAATCTTTCACATAAAAACTCGATTTCAATATATGAGAGATACTCATTTTGTATTGAATGCTACCTGGAGCAAATTGTGAAACTCCTGAAACCCTCCGGAGGGTCTGGTGGACCCGAGTACAGCGACGATGTCCCCTACACTCTAAAAAATGCTGGGTTGTTTCAACCCAAATTTGGGTCAAATATGGACAAACCCAAATGTTGGGTTAAAAATGTAATTAAAAAACTTACAGTTGAAAGTTGAAGTTGGGTTAAAATTTTAAATTACATTTTTAACCCAACATTTGGGTTTGTCCATATTGGACCCAAATTTGGGTTAAAACAACCCAGCGTCGTTTAGAGTGTACGCAACTGTTTCTGCTCTCCAGAGCATATACGAGCGGTGACTCTCTCGAATAATGCTAATGCTAATGCTCGATAAACATCTAAAAAGATGGCCGCCAACGGGTTTCGAAACTTTCGCCTCCGGATTTCGCCTCTGACGCGCATAAATTTCGCTTCAAACTTTTGTTTTTACGCGCGTCAATTTCGCCATTGACATGCGAAATTAACACAAAGTGGTCAAGCGTCAAACTAGACGCGGTAGACGCGAATTTGACGCGCTATTCGCGTCCGGTGTGAACGCACAGTCAGGCCAAGTTTATTATGTTTCATTTGTGCTTAGGGCACCCAAATGGCTAGCGCCAGCCCTGGCTAGGGAGTTAACTAATGTTCTGTTTCACAACTCAGAATATAGATTTTTTTCCCCCACCTCCTACTTGAAAATAAATAACTTCTAGAACGTCGCTCAAAGTCGTATTTCAGACCTGTGAACTATGGGCACATCGATTTACTCCGACCTCAGCGAGACACTTACAAGATGAAGGCAAGTTCTGCTTCCAGTGAGCATAGCTTGACGTGGAGATAACTTATGTCAAACGTTTAACTTTACATACATATACCTTAATTATTGCTTCGCGTCAGCTGTTGCTAGTGAATGCAAACATTTTGTGTTCCTTTTTTTTCTGCTTTTGTGATATAATTGACACAAAAACATGAAATGCTCTTGTTTTGTCATTGTGACATTATGTGGCCATCATGTGTATTTTGACTGGAACTCATTGAGGTTGGAAATTGGACATTTAGTCTCAGATATTATCCAATCTGACCTCTTCTCGAACGCGGCATAACAACTAGGCTGTTTTGTTGTGAAACTGAAGTAGCGACAGATCTTTTATTCTGTATTGTGACGTACACCCAAGTACATTAAATTATTTGAAAAAAAAAATATTGGCGTGGTTTTATCAATCATTGTTGATTGGATGAAGGCAGATCTGAATGTTAAGAAAATGGCAGAGTTTAAGCAGAACAAATGATTGACGGCATCAGAGAGAAGTCTGTTATTTTATTGGAAGAAAATATTAAAGTTACAGCATTTTGATTAGAAAAAAATGGTCAAAATAATCTTAATTTTAAATGATTCATGCAAGATCATTGAGATGCATTTCTAAAATCGATTTTCATATTGTATACCGACTTTAATATGTGCTAGAGCTTTAGAATCTAAAAAAACAGTAGTGATGTTTTCAAATTAAAATGTACATTTTTACAATTTATATACACTAGCAGTCAAAAGCTTTGGATTGGTAAGATCTTCTGTTTTAAAAAGAAGTCTCTTCTGCTCACCAGGCTGCATTTATTAGATAAAAAAAAAAAAAAAACTGTAATATTGTTACATTTTATGACAATTTAAAATAACTGTTTTCTATTTTAACATATTTTAAAATGTAATTTATTCCTGTTATCAAAGCTGAATTTTTTAGCATCAGTCTTCAGTGTCCCATGATCCTTCAGAAATCATTCTAATATGATGATTTGCTGCTCAAGAAACATTTATGATTATTCGCAATTCTTTGTAGGATCGCAGTTCATTTGCTTATGAAAGAAAACGCTTGGAGTTTACTCTGAATCAGTGTGTAGGACTGTCTCAGAGGTGTGTGTGTGCTCATTCACACGTCCAGGAGATGATGAATAAAGCCACAGTCAGACTGAAAGAGAGAGAGAGAGAGATAGAGGACAAGCTCCTAATTGTCTGAATAATTGCAAACCCTG